TGGCTTCAGTGCGGGGATGAAGTGCCCAGGCTTAGCTCATGGGCCCGCTGGGCTTCGTGGCGATCTCTACCCCACCAAGGCTCTGACCTTCCTTCCAGGAGAGTCCGTCAGCCATCTGGGCGGAGGCAGCTGCAAAGCTTAAATCTAGGGCACTGGTTCCTCCCCATCCTCTTCACAAAGAATATTGAGGTTTGTCTTGTCTGTCATCAACCTACTTTTCCTTTTTTCTTCTTTTATATTTCTCATTCTTCCTGTGCTGCCTCTCCACCCAAGAGACCATGTGGCGCAGTGGAGAAAGTCCCCTGGCTCAGCGCCTAGCTCACCGTATGCCATCGGGCTAGTCCTGGGCTCTCCTTGGGGCCTCAGTTGCCATCGCACTTGTGAAATGGCTTGGATAAACCAGATGCTCTCCGGGGTCTGTTTTCTGCCCTGCCACCTTACAGACTTTCATTTTATTTTGCTTTCTCTGGATCTTTTCCATCTGAGAAGACAGGGAGTGCCAGGACCTGTTTCGGTGTTTGAATCCTGCAAGCACATTCCAAGACTGGCCTGAAACTGCATGAGCAACATCACTCTAATTTTCCCCCCAAAAGCACCTTACCAAACAACTGCAATGCTGTCCTGTTCCTTTTTACTCACCCCCCTCTCTTCTCTGGTCCCCACGCTCCCCCACCTCAGTGCTCCGTGCTGTATGCGTGTGCTCTCTGTTCTTGTATACTCAATAAAAGTGAAATAAATGTGTTTGATGCTGAACCACAAACTGCCTTGATGTTCCCTCTCCCTGACACCCCCACACACACCTCTCTCTCTCTCTCTCTCTCTCTCTCTCTCTCTCTCTCTCTCTCTCCTTACCTCCCTCTCTCTCTTCTCCTACCCCTGACTACCAGTACAAGTTGGCATTGTGAGAAGGGCTACAATTGGAGTTGAGCGATTACAACACTTCCATTTTACTGATACTTGCAGCTCTGAATGTGGTACAGGCTTTGCAATAAGGCAAAGTCCCTGCCCTCTAGGAGCTGTTAGAGACAACTCCTGAGTGATCAGCACCAGGAAGGAAATGCAGAGTGGGTCACTGAAGGAGACCACCTTATTTAAGGTCTCCTTTATAAGGCCCTGGGGGAGTTATTTTTGAGCTGAATGAAGAGAAATGTCCAGAGAGGTGAAGACCTGGGGTGAGAGCATTGTAGGCAGAAGGAAGGTAAGGATGTGGGCCCCAGGACACAGAGGGGCTTGTGTGTGGAGAGGCAGCACGGTCCCACCTCCTCTTCCTGAAAAAAGAGCAGCTGGGTCTCCCTCCAAATCCCTCCATGAAGCCTAGTGGATAATGTAGACAGCAACCCCCAACTTCAGCCTCTGCCCCCCACCTGCACACAAGCTGCCATGTTCTCATACGTAATGCCTGTCTCAAAATTAACTCTGTAAAAAAAAGTTTATTTAAAAAGGAAACTATATTCAGCAAATGGAAAGGATGTCTTCATAAAAATAAATGCAAAAATATTAAAATTCACAACGCACAATCCATGTCAAAGTTAAACTCACCCCTTGGACTACCTGACACACTACCTGGTACTAGCTCTTTTCTTTACATTCTATGAAGTGACTCTCCCCAGAACACCTTCCTTTTTTAAAAATTTATTGGCATGACATTGGTTAAGAAAATCATATAGGTTTCAAAGTGTACATTTCTGCGATACATGTTTTGTATATTGCATTATGTGCCAGACCATCTTTCTTTTTTTCTTTTTTTTTAATATATTTTATTGATTTTTTTACAGAGAGGAAGGGAGAGAGATAGAGAGCTAGAAAAGTAATTGAGAGAGAAACATCAACCAGCTGCCTCTTGCACACCCCCTACTGGGGATGTGCCCGCAACCAAGGTACATGCCCTTGACCGGAATCGAACCCGGGACCTTTCAGTCCTCAGACCGACGCTCTACCACTGAGCCAAACCGGTTTCGGCCAGACCATCTTTCTTTTTTAATTTTTTAAAAAATTATCTTTATCTTTGAAAGTAGTACAGATGTTGCTTTGCCCTCCCCCCCCCCCCCCATTAACCTCCCTCCTTCTTGTACCCTCCCCTCCCAAGCCTTTTCCACACTATTGTCTGGTACCTGGGCTATGCATATATGCATATAAATTGCCCAGTTAATCTCTCTCCCCTCACCCCAATCCCCACCTTCCCTCTAAAAATTTATCAGTCTGTTCATGGTTCTACGTCTGTGGATCTATTTTGTTCATCAGTTTATTTTGTTTATTGGATTTCACATATGAGTGAGATCATGTGATACTTATCTTTCTCTGACTGGATTATTTCGCTTAGCATAATACTCTCCAGGTCCATCCATTTGCAACAGCATGGGTAAGAGTTCTTTCTTCTTTTATTGCCACATATTATTCCATTGTGTAAATATATCACAGCTTTTTTATCCACTCATCTGCTGTTGGGCACTTGGCCTGTTTCCAAATCTTAGGTATGGAAAATTGCGCTGCTATGAACCTAGGGGTGCATATATCCTTTCTGATTGGTGTTTCAGGCTTCTTAGGATATATTCCTAGAAGCGGACTCACTGGATCAAATAGGAGTTCCATTTTTTATTTTTTGAGGAAACTCCATACTGTTTTCCACAGTGGCTGCACCAGTCTGCCAAAATCTCACAAGTGAGAACCGTTGCTAATAATATGGTGCATTTTCTAACAAATTTTCCATGTACATGTATTTTTTCCAGAGTTGAAGTTATCTTGCACATAACAATTCTAAATACTTTTTAAAACTTAAACCCTGAACATTTTCCTATAATTTTAAATACTAATACTATTTCTTCTATTTTTAAAGATAAGTCATTAAATGGTACAAAGCGCTATGCAGTGAAAGGCAGCTCTTCAGCCCTCCGCAGACTCCAGAGGCAATTGCTTCCGGGACTTTTGTGACTCCTTCCCTGAATTTTCCCAGTAGATTTCCTTTAGCTAACTGTCACTGTTGGGGTTGTGCAGTAGGACTTGGTTTGCACACACCCTGGATCTGTGTCTCCGTCTTCCATAAATACAGGATTGGCCTTTGTGTTACTTGAGAATAACCTGAGGTTGTTTCATCTACATCGGTGATTCTCAACGTGGGTCGAGTTATTTTGCCGGCCCCCCCCTCCGGGGGGAATATTTAGCAATGTCTGGAGACATTTTTAATTGTTATAACTGAGAGGTGTCATTGACATCTAGTGGGTGGAGGCCAGGGATGCTGCTAAATGTCTTATAATGCACAGGACTGCCCCTGCAACAAAGAATCATCTAGCTCCAACTGGCAATGTTACCAAGGTCGAGAAACCTGATCTGGATGGACATGTGACCCACAAAGTCTGGCTCCTGGGCCACCTACAGCTTCAGTGCCCACAATTCAGTGCCCTGCAATCTCTGAGAAGATGAGCCCAGCTGCAACAGGAAGCTCTGAGACCAGGGAGCTCTGTATCTAAGACTGGGAATAGGGAGGGGTGAGGAGGGAGCTGAGCTTCTTCATGCAGGAAATGAAACTGACACGACAGACTGAAATTGATACCCATGACTGTGACTGATAGAGGCCATCTCTGGTTAATCTTGCAGCAGCTCATTGTGATTAACCATGACTGCAGGGCCCGCTCTGGTCTGAACCACTAAGAGATGAATTTTGACTGAGACAGATTGGCATGTCCAGTGTCACTGTGGAGATGTGACAGACATGCTAAGGAGAAGCTAGAGACAAGAACAGCCCGTCAGACCTTGGTTTTCATTCTAGCTCTGCCACTCTCTTGCAGTGTATCCTCTCTGAGCCTCATTTTTCTCTTCTGTAAGCCAGGGACGCTAACGCCTGCTTACTAGGGCAATGTAAGGTTTAGAAATCATAAGTGAATGGCCTACCCTATGGATTTTGGACTTACCTAGTCAGCCCTCACAATCACATAAGCCAGTTCCTTAATACAAGCAATAAATCTCTTATTATATACATCCTTTTAATTCTGTTTTCATGGGTGGACCCTGACTAATACAACCACCCAGCATAATACTGGGCTTTCAAATAGAAGCTATTTATTAATACCAAATTGTTGTTATTAGTTAAATGCATAATATATGTACTGAGCTGAACCTTTGTGCCTGGCATTGTTCCAGGGAAACAGTTGAGAATAAGCCAGGCAGGTTCCCACCCTCAGGGACGGGTTTCAGCCTGACGGAAGTATTAGATTAGAACTGTTTGGCGGGAGGACACTGGTGATTATGGCTGGAGAGACCAAGGTGGTGACTACTGCTATTGAGACCACTTCTCTCTGGGCTGGGACCTGAGTTTCTGAGGCTCTCTCTCAGGCCTGAGTGTGGCTGGAAGTTAAGGCTCCATGACACTGTCACTCGGGTAGACGTTGGCTGACCAGGACCACGACTGAGCATCTGTCAGTGGCTACTAAGCAGCCATGACCTTGACCCCAGCTACAGTAACCAGGACTGATTGAGACCAACAGAACTTGGCTGGTAGATGTGTTTCTGGAACAGGACATGAAATGCACATTTTGACAAAAGTTGTTACTCACGAGCCGAAACCGGTTTGGCTCAGTGGGTAGAGCATCGGCCTGTGGACAGAAGAGTCCTAGGTTCGATTCAGGTCAAGGGCATGTACCTTGGTTGAGGCACATCCCCAGTGGGAGGTGTGCAGGAGGCAGCTGATCAATGTTTCTCTCTCATTGATGTTTCTAACGCTCTATCCCTCTCTCTTCCTCTCTGTAAAAAACCAATAAAAATATATATTTTTTATTTTTATGTTTGTTTGTTTGTTTGTTTGTTTATTTATTTATTTATTTATTTATTTATTTATTTATTTATTTATTTATTTTAGTTGTTACCCACGGTTCTGGAGCTAAAACGAGAAACTAAAAGCAAAAGGTATTATGGGGCGGAACCTGCCGGCGCGGACCGCTTGTCCCGCGGCCTAGTGATCTGCCCGGGCGCTTTTCCCGGAGCTCCTGTCCGGCGCCAAAGCGGACTTCCGGTGCGCTTCCGCGGTGCGTGAGCGGGCCCGGCACCTGAGCTGGTGAGCGCGGCTTCCTGGTCTGTTTTAATTCCTTTTCTCTCGTTGTTTGTGTAGCGGGGCCACACTTGTTCTCCGCCGGGGGTCGCGGAGTGCCCTGGACTAGGGCGCCTCGCTGCGGTCTGGGGGCTGGTGGTGGGACCCTGGTGTCTCTAAAGGCCTTTCCCCCGAGAAACCGTCGCAGAGAGCGCGTCCCCGGTACGCCCCGTCACCGGGGTAACTAAGGACTTTCCTAACTTCACAACGTGGGGACCCGAGACCTTGCCTGCACCCGACCTGGTTCTGTCCGGCTCTGTGAAACTTTCTGGTAAGGTCTTCCCCCGGAAGGAGCCTTTGTTTCTCAACTACAAAATGGATAACCATTTTTTTATTAAATAAGTGTTTATCAAGTGTCTAGTATGTGCTCGAGGTATAAAGAGAATCAAATCTCGTGGAGGTGACAATCCTCCATTAAAATTGGACAAAATTGCTGACTTGGGACGTGAAATGAGAGTGTTTTCTCAAGAGACCCGACCTAGGAAGCTTCACGGAGGAGAGATTATTGGGCTGAGATCAGAAAAAAAGTTTACAAAGAGAGGAGGGAAGAGCTTTGAAGCCCGAGGAGCTCCCCGTTGGAGGGTCTGAAAGAGGCCAGTGTGCCTGGAGCAGAGCTTGTGTGGGGAGCCTGGTATGAAATAAGCTGGAGGAGTTGCCAGGGCCCTGACCATGACTTTTGGTTTTCCAAGAACCACGTGGGAAACCACTCATAGGGTGTTAAAAGTGGGGTCCACATGCTTAGATTGGCATTTTGAAAAGGTCACTCCAGCTGTGGGTGGAGAATGACTTGGAGGGGCCGGCGCTCTGGGTGAGTGTCAGGGCGGTTTGTTCTAAGGAGGTGGTGAAGAGAAGTGGATGGATGTGATTTTCTGCATTCCAGGGCATCTTCTCTGTCAGGCCACATGCCAGCTGCTGAAGATATAATGAATAGAATTACAGGCTGATGGAATTAGATTGAAAGGAATTATCAAGGAGGAGCACACAGATGCCACAAGGGAAAGTGGCTAAATGAGGAGCAATTTTCTAAATGTAATAGCTGTTCGCTTAGCAAATATTCATAAAGTACCTCTGAATTTAGGGTTGGGAATAGGAAGATGATGTATAAATTATTTTGAGCATTGGCTTTCAGGCTTTTTCACCTCCCCTCTCCCCCCCCCCCCCCCCCCACCGTAACAAGTACATTTTATGTTGCAACTAAGAGTATGTACACAAACACAGAGCTTCAAAAAGCCGTTACTATCTTCATTATTCCTGATGCACTCTAATTTTTTTTATTCTGTTCTTTTCATTAAAAAATAATAATGCTGGCTGAGACTCTAAACTGTTGTGATTTGAAGTATGAAAGAAAAGAAAAAAAGTGATTTAAAGTGAGGGTCATTTGTAGTGTTTTTGGGTTTAGGCAGTAACATATACCCTTAACATTGGGAATGGGTTGGTCTTCCTTTCCTCACTGTTTTCTTTTGTTTTGATTGTGTAAAATAGAGTAAAAAGAACTAAGCGGGCCACTGATTCTTCTCTTTGTGACATTTTAGCGTCTTGTTCAGATGTCTGGCTAGATTGGAAGTGCCTAGAGGTCAGTGACTGTCTTAATCTAGATGTGTTTTTTTAGTGCCCGGTAAAGATCCTGGCACAGTGCAGGCATACGGTGGTTATTTGTTGAATTAAATAGGTACGTGTCTTGGGACTAGAAGAGTAGATAATTGTTTAGTTTAAATGCATGTTGGAACCATTCTTATAAATATCACAGAGACAGCTTCTGCCCACAGAAATTTTACAGTATGCCCCCATAGGTATACTGAGGTAGGAAAATACGTGTTCTGAGCTCTTTCTATTCTAAATACGTATCGGAGGTCAGCCATGGCACCTAAATCATTCTGGACGAGTGTCCCAGAGTTGCCACTGACTGTGGGCCCTTTGGGAAGTTGTTTCACTCCTTGGACTTTAGGTTTTTATGTGTAAAAGGAGAAGGGAATGTTTGTGTTGAAAAGCTCTCCACTTCCTAAAGTTGTTGTGAATTTTAGATGCTGAGCATCCACTTTCCACCTCTGTCCGTTTCTGGGCTTTCCCTGAGGCTTATGGGAAACTGGGTGTGTATGTGATTCAAGTATCCTCAATTCTTCTGGGACTTTTTAGCAATAGGTTTTAGGCAGTTATATTGTAGTGTAGAGTGGACCATTCAGGCTTCCTCTACTTTCATCCTCCATAGTGAGAGAGAGAGAGAGAGATCCGAGGGCAGATCCCGAGTGGACAGTGGGAAGAACACTGGCCTGGAGGGCAGGGCACCCAGGTTCTAATTTATGTGACTTTGTTGGTCCTTGTGTGACCTGAACATGTTACTTCTCTGGTGTCTTTTCAGCTATGAAGTGAGTATTCTTGCTCATTAAATTAAAACACAAAAATTCTCTCTGAACCTCATATTTTTGTCTGTAAATGGATGTAGGGTTGTGTGAGGATTAAGGGAGATATTGCTCAGTAAATGAAGCTTTCTTTCCCAAGTTCTGACGAACTCTGATTGCTTTCTTCTTCAGCTGTTCTGAAAAATACGAAGGCGTCTCCTTTGGTCACCTATCACTGCATCCATGGCCGCCATGCAGATGGATCCCGAGCTTGCCAAGAGCCTCTTCTTTGAAGGGGCCACTGTAATAATCTTGAATGTGCCCAAGGGGACAGAGTTTGGCATTGATTACAACTCCTGGGAGGTGGGGCCCAAGTTCCGGGGTGTGAAGATGATTCCACCAGGCATCCACTTCCTCCACTACAGCTCAGTGGACAAGGCCAATCCCAAGGATGTAGGCCCTCGTATGGGCTTCTTCCTTTCCCTGCAGCAGCGGGAGCTGACGGTCCTGCGCTGGAACTCAGCCCGAGAAGAGGTAGACCTTTCCCCAGCCCCAGAGGCCGAAGTGGAGGCCATGAGGGCCAACCTCCAGGACCTAGACCAGTTTCTGGGGCCTTACCCATATGCCACGCTCAAGAAGTGGATCTCACTCACCAGCTTCATCAGTGAGGCAACAATGGAGAGGCTGCAGCCTGAGAGCCGGCAGATCTGTGCCTTCTCAGAGGTGTTGCCTGTGCTTTCCCTGAAGCACACCAAGGACCGGGTGGGGCAGAATCTACCCCGCTGTGGCACTGAGTGCCAAAGCTACCAGGAAGGCCTGGCCCGGCTGCCTGAGATGAAGCCCAAAGCCGGGACAGAGATCCGCTTCTCAGAGCTGCCCACACAGATGTTCCCAGCAGGCGCCACGCCGGCAGAGATAACCAGGCACAGCATGGACCTGAGCTACGCCCTGGAGACTGTGCTCAGCAAGCAGTTTCCCAGCAGCCCCCAGGATGTACTCGGTGAGGAGGAACAAAGCTCTTTGGGAGTGGGCCAAGAAGGGCTATTAGATTACGGAGTATATCTTGGGTTATCTGGTCTAGGAGTTCCTAAAGCTGGCTAGGAGGCAGTGCTGCCCAATACACTCAGTAAAGATACAGATGTCCAGGCCTTATCCCTGGAGATTGACTCAAGGGATCTGGAGTGAGGCCCCAGCGATTTATCTGCTAATTTATCTAATAAACACAAACCCTAGGTGAACCTGATGCAGAAGGTCCTGTGTTTGGGAACCACTGACATGGCCCAGCCCCTCACTTTGCTGACTGAGGTCTATAGAAGGAAAGGATTTGCTAAGTGGTCAAAATGAGACCAGAGCCAGGGGCTCCTGGTTCCCAGGCCTCTCACTTTCCTCCTCAATTTGCTCCTGACTCTCAAGGTGTTGGTCTCTCTACTGCTTAGACAAGGACATTGACTTTTTAAAAACATTATTATAGTTTTTATTTCCCCCTTATTACAAAAATATATTCATCATAGAAGAAAACCCCACACACAGTAAAATTCATTCTAGTTTCCACAGCTAGAAATAACCATTTTTAACATTTTGGTATATTTACTTCCCATCTTTTACATATATATACACTGAGTGGCTAGATTATGATCTCTGAACACATAATAATCTGGCCACTCAGTGTGTGTGTGTGTGTGTGTGTGTGTGTGTGTGTGTGTGTGTGTAATCATATATAATAGAGGCCCAGTGCATGAATTCGCGCATGGGTGGGTTCTGGTCAGCCTGGCCAGGGGGAGGGGACATGGGTGGTTGGCTGTCCTGCCGGTTGGTTGAACTCCTGGTTGAGGGGACAATTTGCATATTAACCTTTTATTATATAGGATTATTATATAGGATATACACTGAGTGGCCAGATTATTATGCGTTCAGAGATCATAATAATCTGGCCACTCAGTGTATAGACCTCTAACTATGGCTATAGATATTTTATTTCAGTCTTCTCTCTATGTTAATTTCTATGTATTTATTTATTTATTTTTAAATGACATTTGGTATTTATTTAAAATAAACCATAAAACAAGCTATAATTTGATTATCATTATAGGTGAGTGATGGATACATAGGGGATCGAGTGTATCATTTTCTTTTGTATATAATTGAAAGCTTATATAATAAAAAGTGAAAATATTTTAAATTCTTGTATAAAAAGATACAACAAAGAGGCTTATAGTATTACTACTGAGGACGATTCATAAACATTGCAAGCAAAATAACTTAAGCTGCCATAAAGTACTACCATAATGTAAGGAGGAAAATGCACCAATAAGAAAGGATATATGCACCCCTCTGTTCTATATATGTATTTTCTTTTAGTCTTTTTTAAGTTCAATTGTATTTTTGTATGTATATATGATTTTTTTTTACAAAAAATAGAATTATAATATATCATTTTGTAATTTACTTAAATATATACATTTTTCTATGTCACTGAAATAGTCACTCCTTTTCATTGGCTGGTTAAGTTCCATGGTTATTGAATCAGCCCAGTGCAGATGGACCTTTAAGATGTTCATATTTTCCTTATTGTAAGTGTTGTCTAGTAAACATCTTTGTGTGTATTTCTGCATGTGTTTAGCATTGAAATTGTTGGATCAAAACATGTATGTCCTCACCAGCTGTTGCCTATTACCTTTGACTTGGCAATTTAGCAAAGGCTTCTTCCATCTGAAATAGGAATGATGTCTTATTTCAATTTACAGTTGACCCTGAACAACACAAGTTTGAACTGATGGGTCCATTTATTTTGCAAATTTTTTTCCTCAATAAGTACCTGTACTGTTTTTGATCCCAAATTGGGAGTCCCCAGCTGCAGAGGGCCTACCATGTGTGTTGATCTATGCATTTTACATGGGGGACTTGAGCACTCACAGGTTTTGGTATGGGAGTGGGTGTCCTAACACCAACCTCTGTGGATACTGAGGGACAACTAAGTTTTTGTGAAGTCTGACTGCACAGAATGTCTGCTCCTCAATCTCCATGTTGTTTAAGAGTCAACTGTATTTTCTTCAGTCACTAGTGACAGCAAACATTCATCCCATCTTCAACAGCTATTTATATGTATACAGTATATTTTACAAGTTGCCTAGGTATTTGCATTTTTTTTTATTGGAACATCAGTGAAAGTTTTAATATAGGGCCTTTTAAATCATTGTCTCAGCTGATAAGGAGGGACATTTTAATGAATGTATTTTAATGCATTACACAGTATTTTCATTTAATAAGTAACAGTTGAAATTCTGGCTTAAAAATGAACAGAAATCCTGTTTTCTACTTCTAAGACATTTCAGTTCTTTAAAGTAATCTCGTGAAAAGGTCTGTTGTAGGGATAACTTTGTATCTGCATGACAGCTCTTCGGAATTATTTCTGATCTCATAATTTTAGAGTAGGCCAGAAATGCACAAATTTAAATAAATGCCCCAAATTCAGAGAATAAGCTCATGTTTTCACAAGCCAGCCAGGAAAAGCCAACTGAAGAGGATATCATTAAGCTCTATCACACAAAGAAAATTTGGCTACATATTTTGAAAAGATCGGTCAAATGTCCTACCAGGTAACTACCAATAGCTTGTCACATGTGTTTGAGTGCTTCTGTTGTTTTGATGACCCATATGTTGGTCCACAGAAGCCCTCATTAAATTTGAGGAGAGACAGAACATCTCTGATGAGCAGCAGTATCTTTTGGTAACCAGTTTGGTAACCAGTTGCTTGGCCAACTACAATGGCATGTAGATCAGCGATGGCCACCCGGTGGTTCATGGATCACTGGTGGTCTGTGAGGTCGGAAAGGTTGGCGACCACTGACCTAGATCATCAGGTCTCTTTGTGTGAGACAGGCATCCGATGGAAATGTTGGAATAATAACTAATATTTATTGAGTGCTGCTTTGAGCCATACATTATTTTAAATGCTTTACATATATTCATTTATTTAATCCTCACTGTAAATAAGGAAATTGAGCAGGTTAAGTACTGTAACGTGCCCAGGGTCACAGCTGCTAAGTGGTAGAGCTGAGATTCGAACACAGGCAGTTTGGCTCCAGAGCCCATGCTCTTTCCCACCAAGTTGTTTGTAGAGATTAAACCATAGAGCACTGTGATTAAACAATCGACCCTGGAACAAGTCCTCTCAAATTTCCCTCTTCTGGGAGGCTCTAGAACTGTTTCCAGCCAACAGAAAATCTGTTTTCTCTTTTCATCGGTCACATTCCTCGGGGTTAGATGTGTGTGACCTTGTGCACGTCCCTTGGCCTCATATATAAAATGAGACAAATGCCACCTTTTCCTGATCACCTTGCGGAGTTGGGCTGAGGGTTCCATGGGGGTAATACAGCATTTCCCCTGAACCTGAAGCAGATGATCTGCTTCAGAATTAGAGCTACAAATCATCTATCTCAGCCAGGATCTCTGCGGGTGAGGCCTGGGCTGCTGTATTTTTAGCAAGCTCCTCTAGTAATTCTGATAGGCGGCCAGGTTTGGGATCCTCTTGACATGATATCCATGACCACATTTTGTAAACTCTCTAAATGCCAGGCAAATACTAGGTGTACCTCTTCTCCTGCAGTCTGATTTTACAGAAACCCAAACTTAGAGCCGTTCAGCACACTTTTATTAAGGACCGGCTTGTCGCAAGACCCCATGCTGGCCCCTGCAGGAGTGACAAGGAGAAAAGACCGCCTCTTGCTGAGGCCCAGCGGGACTGCCAGGCTTATAGAGCCAGCTGGTCCTCTTCTCCTCTCTGTGCCTTGCAGGTGAGCTCCAGTTTGCCTTTGTGTGCTTCCTGCTGGGGAACGTGTACGAGGCTTTCGAGCACTGGAAGCAGCTCCTGAACCTGCTGTGCCGCTCCGAGGAAGCCATGGTGAAGCACCACACCCTCTACGTGAACCTCATCTCCATCCTGTACCACCAGCTCGGCGAGATCCCCCCTGACTTCTTTGTGGACATCGTCTCCCAGAACAACTTCCTCACCAGCACGCTGCAGGTGAGCAGTCTGTGCGCCCTGAGAAGGGTACCTTTTTGTTTCTGGCTATTCGTTCATGACCCAAAGTTTTCTGAATTTTAGTTTCCCAACCTTGAGCCGTTTTCTGGTTCTCCCTCTCCTATTCGTTTTAAGCTCCTTGATGCCAGATACCCTTTCTCTGTACCACCCTCTCCCCACCTGCGCCCAGAGTGCCTGGCACTGGAGTGCTTGGGATTTGAATGCCTCCACCCCTTTGAGTTACTCAGCTCAAAACAGTTTTTCCTTCTCCCCGTAGCCATAGCTGCAACCCATAGGACAGAGTTTGGAACATCTGCAGCTCTTTAGATCTCATTTCAGCATTAAAGTAACTTTGATTTCCTGTGTCAAACAAAATGTGCCAGTTTCTGCAGAGATTCTGACAGAAAAAGTGAAATTTGCTTTTAACTTGGCAATTAAATTTTCATTATGAGTGGTAATTAGGGAAGAAGCTTCAAAAAACAATCTTCATCCTGTGCTATTTCCTCCCTTTGCAAACAGATTAGCTTCCTTTATGTTCTTGGGACAGCCTCTGTCACTCACATTTCCTAACTTTCTCAAGGCAGAGCTGCAAACTGGCAGTTTCCATAGTTTCCGGCCCGTGAGCTGCTTTTCTCTCCCTGTATGTTAGCCCCCCACGAGACCTGCTCCCTCAGGGTGGCATTCACTGACCTCCCTCTCATGCCACACAGGACTAGGGACTGAACAAACATTCATTAAGGTCCTGTTGGGTATCAGGCACCGGGTTTATCACACTATATGGGTTTCCTTGTTTGATTTCTCTGGAGTGCTGCAAGGCAGATAGGATTATTCCATTTCACGAATGGGAACACAGACTCAGAAAGGTTAAGGAACTTACGTAAGTTCGCAGCTGCTAAGTGGCAGAGTCAGGATTTGTGCATTTGTATTCAGGCCTGCGTATTGAATACAGTGTAGCCCCCCACGCCCCATGGAAAGCAGTGGAGACACCGTCATGCCTGTTGGCAGAGGTACAGGACACTTTCTGAAACCAGCAGACTGTTGGGAGAGTCCCTGCGAGCAGGCAGCGGACTTGAAACTGGCAGCCGGAGGACTTGTGCAGACCATCGGGATGAGTCAGTCAGGCTGATGGCTTGAGCCTGGTGTATTGCACTTCAGATGAATTATAAAACTGCCCTTTTATTGGTTCTCAATATAAAAGAGAAATTAAATCCTTTTATCCTTCCTCTGCAGGGAAAAGCCCCACCACGTTAGTGGGTTGTGGGTTACGGCAGAGTAGGAGGCATCAGCCTGCTCACTTGCCTCTGGCGGTGGCTGTGGTCCACGGCAATATGTGCAGCCCTCATGGTGTGCGTTAATGCTGTCGCACAAACATGGGAGGGCCGCACTGTGCTGCTGGCTGTTCTAACCATTGTCAGCACAACCAACAGCTGAGCTCTAATTGCTGCGGCTTTGTTGCTAGCAATGATTTACCAAGCAGAAAGGGCCCAGCTGGATTGCTAGATGCCCCGTTGGGGAGTGCAAAGCTGATGGGTGGAAGAATTCTGTCTTTGGACTTTTCACCAAGAACATTTGATGTTCTTATTTTGAAAAACCCAAAACACGTGCCTTAAAAAAAAAAAAAAAATCAACACGTTTGTGAGCATCCTTTCTTTAAATACAACATTCTCCTGGAAGTTTTGCGGATTGGCCAGGGTTCCTGCCCTCCGGAGATTTGTTCATTGATTTAGCAGGTGTTTCCTGAGCACCTGACAAGACTAGAAATATAACTGTGAGCAAGACAGAGTCCCTGACTTTCCGCTCACATTTTGGTAGGAAAATAAACGAATTAACCAAATAACTCCAGAAAGCAGTGTGTTTTAGAAGGCAGTCCTGCCTGGTACCATTTCCCTAACCCACACCTTTTGGTCTCATCTAGGCTGCATCAGTCTGTCAACTTCCATGCCTACCTTGTCAGTCCATCTGTCTCCCACTTTGCCGCCTGAGTTGCTGCTTTAAAATGCACATGTGATCCTATTTCTCTACGACCCCTCATTGTCTAGAACAGTGTTTCCCAACCTTCTCTCATGATGAGAATCACCTGGTGGAGTTGTTAAACTACAGATTCCTGAATCCCAACTAAGAAGTGCTAAACTAGAATTTTTGGGAACCAAAACCTATATGTTCCCAAAAATTCCAGTTTAGCACTTCTTAGTTGGGATTCAGGAATCTGTATTTTTTTTAATATATATATTTTATTGATTTTTTTACAGAGAGGAAGGGAGAGAGATAGAGAGCTAGAAACGTTGATGAGAGAGAAACATCGACCAACTGCCTCTTGCACACCCCCGATCGGGGATGTTCCCGTAACCAATGTACATGCCCCTGACGGGAATCGAATCTGGGACCTTTCAGTCCGCAGACCGACGCTCTACCACTGAGCCAAACCGGTTTCGGCAAGGAATCTGTATTTTAACAACTCCACCAGGTGATTCTCCTCATGAGAGAAGTTTGGGAAACACTGGTGTAGAAAGTTAAAAGCCCAAGAATGGGTCACAAGATCTGATCTGTCTGACTCCTAACCTCTTCTCTGGCTTCTCCTTCGTCTCCCTGTTTCCTCCATCAACTCCAGTGACATGGTCTCCTTGCAGATCCCCAGACATGCTGTGCTGTTTCATGCCTTCTTAAAAAAAAAATAATAAAATGCTGTAAAAAAACCCCCACATAACAAGAGGTCTACCCTCTTAACAGATTTTTAAGTGCATAGAACATATTGTTAACTATAAGCACGGCAGATCTCTAGAACTTTCCATCTGGCATGACTGATGAAGACATGGGTGTGAAGTGTCATGCAGAGGGAACCTGACTTTCCCTCTGCCTGGTGTGTATTTTTTATCCTATGAGATGCCCTCAAAACATCCCACTCCATGAAGCCACACCTGATCTCTCTCCTTTCAAACTGTTAACCTCCTTTGTACTTGTCAATATCATACTGCACAGGCTGTCCTTGATGAAGTCACATATTGTCTGCCTGACTGCCCGCTTAGCCTTGAACTTTCACCCAAAGCCTGTTTCGTTCATCTGGCTATTTAAACACCTAGTCAAGGCCTAACACTTACATTTTCGTGTTATTTGTTATTAGATAGAGTGTAATTCCTATGGTAATATAGATGGCTCTAATGTGATAGATATGAACAGTGAATTCTAATCAAAGGGCATTTGGAGCACCAAAGAGAAATTGGTTAATTCAGACTGCGGTTGAGAGTTGAGGGGATAGAAGATCCGGAATGGCTTTTTGCAAAAGATGTGTATTTGTGTGCGTGCGTGTGTGTGTGTGTGGGGGGGATGGCATTTGACACTGAGCTTGAAGGATGACTGAGATTTCAACAGACACAGTATAGAGAAGGTTATTATAAAACTTTTTTTAATGGAAAGTTAAGTCGATGCCACCTTGGCGGTGAGAATTCAGTGCCCCCATACAGGTACTCACTCACTTGGGGTGTTTATGACAGAATGAATCAGCCCATAAAAGCCTTTCTTAGCCAGCCGCCTGCTCTCCCCCCAGGTGGTCAAGTAAGTGGAACTGGCTTTCTTCCTTAGGAGCTTAAATGGCTACTCCCCTCGGAGAGGGGCTGGTGTTTGTGTGTGAGCACTCAAAGGAGCCATGTAATGGCCTCTGCCGTCAGAGGCCCTTTTGAATAAATGCCACTGGTTTTTACAAATCCCATGGATTTAGCTTGAATAAAAATTATTTGTTTTACAAAAATAGATAGTTTTTTCTTTTATTTAAAGCTACTTGAGTCACCATAATTTGTTTAAAACCAATGAAACGATAATATGAATTTAATAGTGAATTATATGCAAAATAAGAATTCTTATTGCTGATTGCATAGCATTTAGGCATATAGTCATGTAACCTGTTTTTTAAAAAATACTTTTAGTCACAATGGGCCATATATGCTTTCTAGCTTTATTTCTTATTAGTATTCTAAATGCCAGTGTCCATCTTTAACTCTTGAGAAAAAACGTTGGCTCTAACAATGATGTCTATAGTGTTTTTATCATCATACCATCTACGATCTATTTCACCTACCTACTCCCAAACTTCCCGCCATCAGCTGTCTATTACTTTTTTATACTTACTGTGCATTATCTCATTTAGCCCTCAAAACAATGCTCAAAATTAAGGCTATAATCCCACTTTATACAAGGGAAATAAGATCAGAAGGTCACATAATTTTGCCCAAGACAACCAGCACTAATAGGTCGCAAGGCTGAGCTTTGATTCTAATGCCTTCAGTGAGCTCTCATATATTCAAGCCCCAGACAAAACATCACAAATTCTTTAAACTGATCTCAGAATTATTCCCACTGCTTTTCATTGTCCTGGCAATCATTGGGAAGTGATAGTCTTGCTTTTAACACCACTTTCTTCTTCTACAAGTAGAGATAAAATGTCCTGTCAGTGGCTTGTTTTAGTCTAAACTGAAAAACCATTTGGGAATTGAAAAATTTCAGAAATTTCATTAAAAAAGCAGGATAAGACATTGACTCAGCTACCTTGGTATTTTAAATTTCTCAGGTGACCTGACTGAACTCTATTTAACTTGGGCCTAAAAGAAGGCTTTTACATTTCTTTTTTTTTAATTATTTTATTTTATTGATTTTGTACAGAGAGAAAGGGAGAGAGATAGAGAGTTAGAAACATCGATGAGAGAGAGAGTCATCGACTAGCTACCTCTTGCACACCCCCTACTGGGGATATGCCCGCAACCAAGGTACATGCCCTTGACCGGAATCGAACCTGGGACCTTTCAGTCCCCAAGCCGACGCTCTATCCATTGAGCCAAACCGGTCTCGGTGGCTTTTGCATTTCTGACTGAAGTAATTTATGATTTTATAATATGCAGACTTAGTGATAAAAGTAGTAATACCTTTTTTATATTTAGAAAAAATACCAAATAGATGTACTTTTAGTTTTAAATAAATGTAGTTGTTTGTGTAATGTTGTTATCCTATTTCAAAATATTTTTTTTTAATGTCCAGGATTATTCTTCCTATATTAAGAGGATTCATTTCTCAGTGTTGCTAAAAATGTTTACTTGATTTCACTTTGATAAAATAACCAGATGATTACAAAGTTTCCTGAAGAAGGCATTAAATTAATCTAAAAATAAGAGAACCAAAGTAAATTATTGCTTGGAAACTGGGTATAGTCTAAACATCTCCTTTTCTGGATTGTGAGTTTTTAAAATATCAAGTTTTTATACTAAAGGGATAAAAATAAAAATAGGTCAGTGAATGTCAGAGGTGAGGGATAAGGGAGGGTTTGACCACCAAGGTCAGCACAAGGGTGTTCGTTAGAGTGATGGAACTATCCTAATGGTGATGATATGTCCTTCAAACTCATAGAACTGGAAAAAGAAAAACTATAAGTATATATTAATCTTGATTATATCATATAGTGGTTGCATGGGTATATGCATTTGTCATGTATATACCCATCAAACACTTTAAATGGGTGAATTTAATTGTATGTAAATATTATGTCTCAATAATGCTAATTTTTTTTTAAGTCTAATTTAAAAAAAAAAAGTCAACTGGGCCTGTGCCCTGGATCCTGAAGGCCTGCAGAGAGGACAGTCCCAGAAGCACCTGGTCGCCAAGCCCCTTGGCTCTCCAGGGCAATGCTGAAAATACGAAGGATGTATCAAATCCGTGTCAACACTGGAAGAAGGTCTTGATAGGGAAAAGGATTGAGATTTCTTTTTCCGACTGGATCTTGCTCAACGTTTTCACTTACTTGCTCAGCATTTATCGCTGTTCTCATCTGTATAATGGGGATAGTCATTTCCTGCCGTCCTACCTCCCAGGTTTGTAGTAAAGATTAGATTGATAAGTTCTTTAAGAAGGACAAAACACTTTACAAATTAGAAGCCTTATTTTTCAGACTTAAGGCTTCTATTTACCTGCTTCTGGTTGATTTTATTACCAGGCACTGTTTGAGAGAGGGGTGGGAAGGGTGAGTGATGAGAGTGGGCCCAGCCTGTTCCAACCTCTCACTACTGGCCACTGACAAATGCAGGGCAGTCCCTGCATCTCCTTATCCTTTCAGTGAATGTCCTGTGGGCCTAACTCTGTGCCAGGCAAGATGCCACGTGGGACACATGGATAATTCGGACTCATTCCCGGCTCATAAGGAACACATGTCGCAAGCACTGGAGAAATGCCAGAGTGGCAGCTCAGGCCCAGTGCTAGGGGGACAGGTTGGAGCAGGTCATTTCAGCGTGGACATTTTTATAAGTACGGTAGGTGGTTTATGAGCTGGTGGCCTGCAGGGGTCTAGTAAATAAGCCACCTCCTCCTCAGGATGAGTCCCTAATTCTGTCCAGGACTGTCACATAATTATTGAGCAATTATTTGGTACCAGGCACTACTAAAGTGAACCAAAAATGGATGTATGTCATAGTCTGTGCCAGGAGCAGAATGCAGCTGTGAAAAAGAGTCATTGCTGTGGAGTTGCTCCTCATCTCTCGGGAGAGTTCAACTCTAAGTGGATGTTACCTAATAGAGATTGAGGATATGATCGCGGTAACTCTGAGCACTGGGGGAGCATGGAGGAGCACCTGTGCCATCCTTGGTCTGAGAAGACGCCCTAAAGGAGGTGATGTGGGAGCTGAGCTGAGTTACTGGTAGAAATTAGCTAGATGAAGGAGAAGGAAACCGGGGAAGGGTGTTACAAGTAGGAGAAAAGCATGTGTGTAGAGGCGCGGAAGAGGCAGTAGAGCATGTTAGGACCACTGCTCAGTGTGGGTGGAGAGGAAAGGCTGTGTAGAGAAAGTATAATTTACTGAGTAAGGAGGGGAGCAAGAGGAGGCTTTTGATAATTCAACTAGCAGGTTCCCCAGGACCTCTGAGCACAAGCTCATGGGTGTTAGGGCCTTTGGAGCTCGTGCTGTCTGAAACAGGCTTCTCTGCTCCCGTACCAGGCCCCTCCCCAGAGTTCAGCGGGGCTCCCTATTGAGTGCTCCATGGCACGCTCTATGAGCTGCCTACAGACAGGCCGCCAGCTTCCCCACTGCCCTCTCGCCACCAAGCTCCTACAGCCCCTCTAATTAGTTATTGATCTGGCACTTTGTTGTGGCTGTGCTTCCCGCTCCTCTGTTTAGTCAATTCCCAAGTTAATGAAACCAAATTCTGTAAACCTCCCTTTTACTCTCCCCCCTCCCTCCCGACACACACACACATCACTTCTCTCCCTGCTACCACAAATGGCTCCAAACAAAGACCACTGAAAACAGGCCTTGCTCCTGCTGCTCACAGGAAGAAGCGGCTAGAAAGGGCGTTGTCCACGGAATCAGCCACGGAGTGTGCCTGTTACCTCTGTCCGGTCCAGGCCCCTGGAGCCCGGAGTCCTCCCGTGGTGTCTGCGGCCAGCGGTGGCGCGAGGGCACCGTGGTCAGAGACCTCCACCCTCAGGCTCCTGTGTCTGTGAGGGGCTACCAGGTAGTCTTGGAAAAACTACTTCCTTTCTGGGTAGCTTTGGTCCAATCATTTCATTTTTCTCATTCTCCATTTCTAAAAAGTAGGTATTCAAGTGTGTCTTCTCATGGCATTTTGAGGATTTATTGGGATATTTTAAAAAACTTATTTGAAAAGAGTAAAATAATAGGAGGAATTAATAGGTTTGCTATTCTTAGAAGGGGTTGGGATCTAGGACAATTGCAGAATAGAGCTTCAGATGTAGAGAAAATTACTGTTCTGCCCCCTCCTATGTTTATACTAGATGAAACGGAATTAAAAAGAGAATCAAGCCCTGGCCAGCATTACTCAGTGGTTAGAGTGCCTGCACACTGGAGTGTCCTGGGTTTGATTCCTGGTCAAGGTCACATGCCTGGGTTGCAGGATGATCCCCGGGTCCCAACAGGGCACGTGTGGGAGGCAACCAATCAATTTGTCTCCCTTACTTTGATGTTTTCTTTCTCTTACTCCCTCGCTCCCTCTCTCTTCCCTTTCACTCTCTCTAAAAAATCAATGGAAAAAATATCCTCAAGTGAGGGATGACAAAAACAAAAAAAGAACATTAAAACAGGGAATTACTATCCAGAATTTACAAAGAATTCCTACTGATAACTCAGCAACAACAACAACAGAAACCTGATTACAAATTGGCAAAGGGCTTAAATAGACATTTCCCCAAAGAATATATACAAATGGCCAAATGAAATGTTCAGCATCACTGATCATTGGGGAAATGCAAATCAGAACCACAATGAAGTGCCAGTTCACACCCATTAGGATGGCTACCATCCAGAAAATAACAGATGTTGGCAAGGATGTGGAGATATTGTAAGTCTTGTTAATTGCTGATGGGAATGTAAAATGATGTAGCCACAGTGAAAGAAAGTATAGTGTTCTTCAAAACAAACAGAATTTTCTTACGATCCATGAACTCCACTTCTGGATATGTACTCAAAAGAATTGAAAGCAGGCACTCTGAGAGATATTTTTACAGCCACGTTCATAGCAGTGTTATTTACAACAGCCAAAAAGTAGAAACAACCCAAATGGCCATTGACAGATGAATGGAAACAAAATGTGGTGTAGACATACAATGGAACACCAGCCTCAGGAAGAAGGAAACTCGGACACAGGCTGTAGCATGAATGAACCTGGAGGACAGTGTGCTAAGTGAAATAAGCCAGTCACAAAAGGCTTAGTATTATATGATTCTACGTATGTGAGGTACCTAGAATATTCAGATTCCTGGAGACAGAAAGTAGAGTGGTGGCTGCCAGGGGCTGGGGGAGGGGGAAATAGGGAATTATTATTTAATGGGTTCAGAGTTTCATTTAGGAAAGATGGAAAAAGTTGAAGAGATGGATGATGGTGATAGTTGCATAACAATGTGAATATACTTAATGCCTCGAACTGTATACTTAAAAGTGATTAACATTTGTAAATATTTTGTTATGTGTATTTAACACAGGTTTTTAAATGATAATGTAAAAAATTGGTTAAAATGGTAGCTTTGTGTTATGTATGTGTTATCACAATTTTAGAAAAAGAACATCAAAGCTTTTTAGGGGAACAGAGACCTCTAACTGGCAGCCTGTGGCACATTTCCTTTAGAGCAGCAATTCAACCGCATTGGCCTGGGGCCTGGCGTTTTACGGGACCCAGGGGCTTGTGAGCCCCCGAGCCCTTCCCATACCAGCTGGTATAAGCTACTCCCTCTTCCTCCCAGTTACTGCCCACTGCCCAGGAGACCTCCCCAGGGGCAGGGCCAGAGGAATGGGGCTTCTCTGCCCAAGACGGTAATTTTCCATTCTGGTCCTGCCTCAGCTTCTCAGCAGGGTTTGGACCTTGTTTCTTGGTTTGGGGGAGCACAGCAGGTATCCTGGGCCTGTGCCACCAGCAGCTGATTTTCCCGCCCCAGAGAGCTGAGCATCATGAGGAAATTTCCATAGCTTTCTCAGCTCCCTCCGTGTTCTCAGGAGTGACTTATCCTCTGTTCTCTGTAGGTTTTCTTTTCCTCGGCCTGCAGCATTGCTGTGAATGCCACCCTGAGGCAGAAAGCTGAGAAGTTCCAAGCTCACTTGACCAAGAAATTTCGGTGGGACTTTGCCGCGGAGCCTGAGGACTGCGCCCCGGTGGTTGTGGAGCTCCCCGAAGGGGTGGGGACTGGCTAACTGGGAAGACACCTTCCCACACAGCTGCAGCCTGACCTCTCTGCTCACCCCTTTTCCTGGGCCTGCCGAGATGGTTCGGCAGAGACGGAGCCAGAATTCCCTCCTTCACCACTACATACATTCCTTTAGTGCCAAAGGGGCTGCATCAGCCTGGCCTTGGTGCTACCTGACTGACTGCCAGGTGGACTCTTACAGAAGCTCTTGGGAGAGACCTGCCTCAGCAAGCAACCTACTTCCTTCTGAATAGAACGGATTGCATATTCCACAGGATGATTAGAAAGAAACCCTGAACTGTCGAGGGGTCAGAGATGTCCGTTGGTGACTTTTTAAGTTAAGCAGAGGGCAGAGGGAGATGAGCCAGAATTTCAGCCTGCCTCTTGTTGAATGGGGATACATCGCAGAAAACATGGCCATGTGACCCCTCAGGAGCCCCAGACTGGGGAGGGCGTAACACAGAAGACAGTTGGGATGTATCTGACAAGTTACCAGTTTTTGCTTTTCCATCTAAATTCCTTCCTCCTGTCCAAAGGTCCCACTGGGTAATCTTCCCAAGATTGTTGTGGCCCTGACTTCAGGGGCCTTATGAGTGCGATGCCTCTCCCATGTGTGTTCTGTTCTGAGACCTCAGACCCTGAAGTGGGACTTGGCAACCCTCCTGCATGGCCCCAGGAGGGCTCCTCAACCGGCCATGGCTGCTCCTGATGACCCGGAGAGTCAACAACAGAAAGGTTCTTTCTTGGTCTGGACAGGCCTCCCACCCTGGTGGAGTCTGTGCCTTCATTCAGAGCTCTGGAGAAGACTGTCAGCCTAGGCTTTCCCCTGCCTGCGGTGGAGCTTTCAGCCACAGGAGCACTGACGCTGGCATTGCCTGGCAGTCTGAGGGCATGCCCTCCAGGCACACAGGCCCCTCATCCTGACCTGAGCTGTGCTGTGGTCAGATCCCTGTGCTGTTTTCCAAGGCTGCAGCTCACACCGGGTTTCTAAATGAGAATTCCTGCTGGTTCCACTTGTTTCCCTGGAGATGTTTTTCCAGGAGCATAGTGTACATAAAGTCTTTGAGTTGAGACTAAATCCCCTTGTGTGTGTCTCTCTTGCAGTTAATCTGCCCAGACCCCAGAGCAGCCAGGCCACTGTCCACAGACACACATCTCCCTCCTGGCACAGGACACACTCACCCAACCTCTGAGTCTCAGGAGGAGGCAGGCAGCCAGCGCTGCTTCCTGTCACCAGTGGGGCTTCTGAGACAGAGACACCTGGTGGGATTGAGGGCCTGTATCTGTATAAACACCAGAGGTTTTGCCTTCTGTGAATTTGCTGTCCTTTTCCTCCTCAAAGCCCACTCATCAGAAGTACTTGGGGAGCTTGTTAAAAGTGTGGATTCCGAAAGAATGAAGTCCTGATCTGTGCTGCACCATGGATGAACTTGGAAAACATTGTGCTGAATGGAAGAAGCCAGACATAGAAGGACATATTATGATTCCATTCATTTGAATTGTCCAGAATAGACAAATCCATAGAGACAGATTAGTGGTTGAGAGGGACTGAGAGAGGGGAATGGGGAATGATGCAAATGAGTGTAGAGTTTCTTTTTGGGGTGAAAGATTTTAGAATTAGGGGTGATGGTTGCACAGTCTTATGAATATATTAAAATCCACTGAAAAGTGTGTACACTTTGAAGTGGTGAATTTATGGTATGTAACATATCTCAAATTTTTTTTATTGATGTCAGAGAGGAAGGGGGAGAGAGAAAAACATCAATGATGAAAAAGAATCATTGATCCACTGCCTCCTGCACGATCCACACTGGGGATCGAGCCTGCAACTTGGGCCTGTGCCCTGACTGGGAATCACACCATGACTTCCTGGCTCATGGATTGATGCTTAACCCTTGAGCCACTTGGGCCAGGCTCTTTAATAACTTTTAAAAGTGCAGATTCACAAGGCCCACCCTGCAGGGATTGAGAGGCGGGCAACCTGGAGATAGCCTGGATACCCTCAGTGTTGAAGTGACAGCATTGCAGTGTACCCGGCCCTCCATCAGGTCAGAATTTGTCTCCCACTGGCATTGCCAGGGCAGCACCTAGAAGTTGGGTCATGTGACTTTGTTCTCCCAGCTTGTTGACCTTAGATCCACACCGACCACTTCCCACCAGGGCCACATACACAAACAGTTGAAGGAAACGTCATTCTTTACTAAGTGCTCTGTTCTCTCACTTCACTTACTCCTCGGCACACTATGCGGTAGGTATCCTTACATCCCATTCTACAGATCGGAAAATGGGCTCAGAGCTTCAGTCATTTTGCCAGGGTCCCACCGCAGGGAAGGATTGAGGACAAGAGTCAAGCCCAGGCCGCTGCACGCACCTCCGTGATTGACTCCTTCCTGCCCAGTCCCTGCCTCCCCAGGTCTAGCCTGAGCCTCATGATAGCCCCTGTGTGACCTGCAGCCAGCCACTGACCTTCTCTGGGCCCCCGTCGGCTTCTCTACAAAATAAGAGAGTTTGCTTGGACTTAGGGTTTGTGACATAGATTCTCCAGGCTCCCTCCTGTATTTAAAAGTGAACTCTTGTGTTATTTTAAATGTTTTCAAAAGGAAAACCACATTTACATGGCATAATAGGGCTGAGCTGTCAAAAACACAATAGGTCTCTTGATTGGGACTGGCGTGACCCTGTGTCTCCTGATTGTCCCAGCTGGCAGTTCTCTGGGTGTCTTTGATGAATAAAAAATGTGAAAACAAATGAATTATTACTTAATACTTGCAGTGCGTTTGGGAGGCAGAAACCTTCCAAAGTGAGAACCAGCGGCACTGCTGATCTCGGGCTGCCTTGCAGTTCTAACACATCTGAGCACAGCTATTGGCAGGACCTGGCCTGGTTTCTAAGTCCCCTCGAATGCAGGCCTCCTGGGGGCTGGCTCTTATTTGCAAGGTCGCTTTATCCTATTAACAGAATCAGCGGAGGCAGCGACTTTCCAACCCCGTCCACGGTCCCCGTGACAAACCTGGCTGCTCCGAGCCCCACTCTGATTTCTCACCACTCGGGCAGTGGAGGAGACCCCGCTGCTGATTGCCTCTTACCATCGGTGATTATTTCCCCAGCGTCTCCCCCTGGCAAACATTACTTAACCTTCCCAGGGCATCATGACATGTTGGTCTCTCCAACTCATCAGACTTTGGCTTGACTGAAAATGCTGCCCCCCGCTGAGAGAGGGGCTGGACATGCAGAGCCTGTGCTATGGACAAGGCCATCCCTGATCACATCTGCCAGGTTTAAGGCAGAGCCGAGCCGGGAAGCTCCCCTGAACCACTGGCTGATCCTGAGGGGCACTGTGGTTCGGTGATTGCCCAGAACCCTCTTCTCACCACGGCCCTTCCTCACCTCAGAGTCCACCACATCTGGCTCAAGCAGGCTTAGTTTTCATTAAAACCCTTCTAGATCCTTCTGCGTCCAGAGTGTCTAAGGACTCATTCTCTCCCCAGCTCTGGGCTCCTGCCATGGACTGGCCTCCCTGCTGAGAGGGTGGGATGAGGCCCCGGAATCCAATCCTGCCAACTGTTCGCTGCTGTAGTGGGGAGGGGAGTGTCCAGCCTCTCCCCCACCTGCCAAGCCTTTGTCCTGTGTCCTGGAGCCTTGCTCACCTCTAGTGAGGGTTCCTGAGGGTTGTCAGCTGTCAGAATGCTTGATGGAAGGGAAGTAGGAGAAGACTGGGCTTCTCAATGGAGTGGGCTCCCCAATGTCAGATGGCCTGCACGAAAGAAACTCCGAAAGTCTCTCTTCCCTTGGTCTTTTGTCCTGCTTCTTCCCTCCCCATGTTGCTCTACTTTGCTTCTGCTGCCCTCCATACATTTGTACCTGCCTCAAGTCTGGGCTCTACGCTTCCAGGGAGATGCTGGCAGATGGAGTTACATCTTGAGGAGAGGGAGCTGTCACGTGAGAAGCAGTGGGAGAAAAATGCAGGACCTTCACCAAAGAGCAGAGAGGCTGAGAGCAGGAGGAGAAGGAAGAGGCCTCCCATCCTTCAGTGCAGAGTGGGGGCCTGAGGTAATTTACAGGGAGGTAGTTCTCCCTTCCCTCTTCATCCAACCCATGCTCACCGCATGCCTGCCCCTGTGAGCTTACATTCTAGTCGGGCCTGTGAGGTGGGGTGGGGGGCTGGGGGTGCTGGGGGGAGCAGATAGTAGCATAATAAGTAGATTATAGAGCGTGTCAGTTATAAGATATACTGGGGTGGGGGGAATGGAGCAGGATAAGGGAATTTGAGAGTCCTGGCAGGGTGAGGAGAGACGTTGCTCTTTAAATGAGGAGGCTCTTGAGCAAAGATGCGAAGGATGTGAGCGAGTGAGCTGTGTGGGCATCTGGGGGAACAATGTTCCAGGCAGCGTGAACCGTGGCTGCGAAGGCCTACCTGAGCCTGGTGTGTGGGAGGAACACGGCGGTGAGTGAGCTGAGAGGAGAGAAGTTTACAGAGGGACCAGCTTACCCACGGCTCAGGGGCTGTTATAAGAACATTGCACTTTACTCAGTGAAATGGGACCAGATCACAAGCTGCTGGGTCGGACGTAGGCTGCATGGGGCAGGCGGGAGCAAGGGGACCTGTCAGGAGACCAGTGCAGTCATCGGGCTGAGGGGATCAGAGCGGTGTCAGGGGTGCATGCTGGGGCCCTGTTCACCACTCAGATGGCGCGTGGACTGGGTGTCTTTCAGGAGCCCTTCTAGCCTGATAGCTCACGTCTCTGAGTCTCAGAACCTGAACAGAATGCCAGCTCCTTGGGGTCCCTCCGCCTCAGGAGTCCCCTCTCAGCGGTTCCCAGGTGTGCATTTGGGTAGGCCGGGCGAAGCTGAAGGATTGGAAGGGCAGTCACAAGATGTGGGGTGTGAGGACTCGGAGGGCTCTGTGGAGAAGTGGTGGGTGAGGCAGACGGCTGTGATGGCTGTGGTGGCACCACCAGCACCCATGTGGGTGGTCTTGCTGCCAATGGCGGTGAGGAAAGTGGCACTTGGTGTTCAGGTGTTGGGGTGGCTTAGAGAGTTGGGGGTCTGTGAGGCCTCTGTTGTTGCTAGTTGGTGCTGGTCACGAGTCATCCCCGCGCCCACCTTCCCCAGGAACTTCCCTGGGCTCCGCGGTGAGTGCTGTGAGCCGGCGGAGCGCTCCTTCTCACTGCTGGGCACTGGTCCCTCCTCCCTCGCTCAGGAGGAGCGCCCGGTCTTCAGGGAGGGGGAGGAACTCGAGGCTCAGAGAGGTGAGCACAGGCTGGCGGTCTGAGAGCCAGAACTCCAGCCCACCTGTCCGAGGCCAGCACGGCCCTGCACCGCGCCGCACGCCTTAACAAGGACAGTTACATAATCCGTGATAATTACCAGTTGGATCCGAGGCTGCCAGCTGCCAGCTGGCAATGTCAGCCACTTGGAAGGATGCTGGGCAGCCCCGCTAGCCTCCTGGTTCGAGGTAGCTTGCTCATGTTTCTTCCTAGATCCTTCGTGTTTGTATCTGCCTGTGGGCACCCTGGACCAACCAGGCTCGGGTGAGCTGGCATCTGGTCCAGATCCAGGCTCCTTCTGCTCTCCTGGGCACCACGGGGGCCACTGAGCGGCTGCCCAGTGTGGGGCACGCCTCTCCGAGTGGAGTCCTCTCCCCCCTGTCCCACCAGAGCTGCTGTTGAGTTTGCAAAGGCATTTTGCTTTGTGAGGGATGCTGCCAGCGGTGGGGCCTCTGAGGGACCGATTTAATGTACATCCTTAGTGATACTCGCTGGGGATCACTACACTGTACTGTCCTAAGGCTAGCAACCGAAGGTACCAAACAGGATGGGGGTTTGGGGGTCTCCCTGGTACATTTTAAGTGAAGAAGACTCTACCACTCATTGTCCATTTACCTTTTGGAAGTTGTTCATTTATGTCCTCTGCCTATTTGTCTGTTGTATCTTTGTGTTTTTAAAAATAATATGCATTGCCCGGCCAGCATGGCTCAATGAACCAGGAGGTCACGGTTCAATTCCTGGTCAGGGCACAGGCCCAGGTTTCGGGCTTGAGCCCCAATGTGGGGCATGCAGGAGGCAGCCGATCAGTGAT